AAATATGGGTCAAACTTAAAATTAATAATACTTCATACATTCTTGGTGTTGTCTACTTTCAACCGAAATCTGGTATTGATAAGTACGTGAGTTTTACCAAAAGTTTAGAAACAATTGAAAACATGTTGCATTCATCGGAAGTTTTAATAGCAGGCGATTTTAACCTACCACAAATTGTTGACGCCACGTATAATTTCGAGAACGCGAGTGCTAAATGCAAAGTAATTAAAAATATAGCTTCGATGTACAACTTAAAACTCATTAATACGGTTAAAAACTGCAATAATAGAACCCTTGAACTTAAACGCGGAAATTAAATCTGCTGTCGACTCACTGGATAAAATTAATCCACTTCATCCAGCACTAGAAATAGTCTACAAAGTCCATAGACCAGCTAAGCGAATTACCAAATTAACCAACTTCAATTTCAAAAAAGCAGATTTTCTTAAAATGTACGTCCTTTTTCGCGATATTAATTGGAAGGAGTCTCTTATCCTGAAGAATTTCAAATCGATAGATGATGCAGTAACTAGCTTTAATCAAACGGTAATGAACATTTTCGATGAATGTGTCCCCAATGTTACAATTAGGAGTGCCAATAAGTATCCTAGCTGGTTTAATATAGACATTATTAAGAAAATCAAACAGAAAAATAAGTTTCGGTTACAGGGCCAATCGGAAGACTTCATTGAAGCCAGAAAAGAACTCAAAAGGATGATCCACATTGCTCATAAGAGGTACATTAATCAAATTGAAATGGATCTGCGGAAGAATTCCAATAAATTCTGGAACTACATCAAGTCGTTGAGGAAGAGTAGTCAACTACCTGGAGTTTTTGAGTACAAAGACACCTCGTTAACGGACGCCAGAAGCATTGCGGACGCCTTTGCATCCTTCTTCGAGTCAGTCTACACTATGGAGAGGAACGATGACCCGGAAGATGACGTGGAATCGGACCTGGTGCTATCCAAATTGCACTTGACTCAGTTACATGAATCCGAGATACTGGAAGCAATTAAAAAATTGAAACCGAGGTCGGCTATAGGCGAAGATGGAATCCCACCCTACATCGTGAAAGGATGTGCATCTTTATTGGTAACCCCCTTACAACATCTATTTAATTTAGCTTTGCAAACATGTACATTCCCTGAAGCTTGGAAATGCACCAGAATAACACCAATTCACAAAAGTGGAAGCCGAAAATTAGTTGAGAATTATCGCCCAATTGCAATTATACCAGCAATAGCGAAAATTTTCGAAAGAGTGATCTATACTAAACTTTATTCCCATCTCAGCAGTATAATTGCAGATCAACAGCACGGTTTCACGCGGAACAAATCAACGATTACCAATTTAATGCAGTTTACGCATTTCTCAGCAGGAGCCTTGGATGAGAGAGCCCAGGTGGACTGTGTTTATACAGATTTTGCGAAGGCATTTGACACAGTATCCCATCAAGTCTTGCTCCGTAAACTTGTTTTAAATTGCGTAAGTAATCCGACCGTCAAATTCTTGAAATCATATTTATCTCTCCGTAAAACAAGAGTGAAATTCAATGGTGTGAATTCAGCCGAATTTTATCCCTCATCAGGCGTTCCCCAGGGAACACTTCTTGGTCCTTTTCTGTTTCTCTTATACATAAATGATTTACCGCGAGTGATAAAAAACTCGAAAGCACTACTATTTGCGGACGACCTAAAACTTTTTAATAAAGTCCAATCCCCAAGTGACTATATTGTATTATCAAAACTCTCTAAACCTTCCCCATATAGTTTTATTCGTTGAAGTTTTTTAAAAGTAAAAGCGACTATAGTTTCGGCGTACTGCCATCATCAGGCGACTAGAAGTGTATCACAATATAGCAAATTTGAAAACATTAAGAGCTAGTACTTACTGTGAAAGTTAACAGGAAAACGGTAAATTACAAACGTTGAAGACGAATAAGACGAACATGTTGTTTTTTAATTATTAACTGGCCGAAGCCAAGTGAAAAAACCTGAAGGGTGGTTAAAACGGAAAGGTTGTCCTAAGTTTCAAAACGAATTATTATCAAGCCTTGTTAAGACAACCAACCGGAGGGTTGAATTATTACATTAAAAGTTGAAAGTTGGATTTAACCTAAAAATGGACAAAGTTTTAGATTTAAAAAATAAATTATCTAAAGGGTACTTACACATTTCAAAAGAACGGGGGGGAGGGGGAAATAAACTTATAAAAGTATTGAAACTATTGAGATGACTACATATTTAAATTATTTAAGTTAAGTTGCCGTCTGCATGATGTCGAATTTAAACTTAACTTAAATAATTTAAATATGTAGTCATCTCAATAGTTTCAATACTTTTATAAGTTTATTTCCCCCTCCCCCCCGTTCTTTTGAAATGTGTAAGTACCCTTTAGATAATTTATTTTTTAAATCTAAAACTTTGTCCATTTTTAGGTTAAATCCAACTTTCAACTTTTAATGTAATAATTCAACCCTCCGGTTGGTTGTCTTAACAAGGCTTGATAATAATTCGTTTTGAAACTTAGGACAACCTTTCCGTTTTAACCACCCTTCAGGTTTTTTCACTTGGCTTCGGCCAGTTAATAATTAAAAAACATGTTCGTCTTATTCGTCTTCAACGTTTGTAATTTACCGTTTTCCTGTTAACTTTCACAGTAAGTACTAGCTCTTAATGTTTTCAAATTTGCTATATTGTGATACACTTCTAGTCGCCTGATGATGGCAGTACGCCGAAACTATAGTCGCTTTTACTTTTAAAAAACTTCAACGAATAAAACTATATGGGGAAGGTTTAGAGAGTTTTGATAATACAATATATTTCAACCCCCATTTCGAGGAACGATGGATCCAACTCAAAAAAAAAAACCCCCAAGTGACTGTTTAAATATTCAAGAGAACATTAACTCAGTAATTAAGTGGTGTATCAAAAATAAACTAAAACTAAATATCAATAAGTGTAAAGTCCTTACTTTTACTAGATCGAAAAATCCCTTACTTTTTGACTATAAGATGAATGGAAAGGTCTTACTACGAGTCACCTCCGTTAAGGACCTGGGCGTGTTTTTTAATACCAACCTTAACTTCAACTTACACATTGAATACCTAACAAATGAGTGTTACAAACTTCTTGGTTTCGTTATCAGAAATACACTCAATTTCACGAATATACAGACAATGCTAACCTTATATAATGCATTTATTAGATCCAAGCTTGAGTATGCTGCATGTATCTGGTCTCCTCAAACTCTCAAATACTCAGACATGATCGAAAAAGTGCAGAAAAAGTTCGTCCGAGTAATGTTTTTTAGGTCAACCCAAAATTATCCACATTTGATCTCTTACGGTACCCAGCTTAATTACTTAAATAGTACTTTCGGCTTAGATATAACGAGGTTAGAAACCCGACGGTACATTGCCTCCACAATTTTTGTCTTCAAAATTTTACACAACTTGTTATACTCTTCCGAATTACTTCAAAAAATTAAGCTTAAGGTACCATTTGTTAAGCTAAGGCAAAATAATACTATTTTTGTAGTTAACAACACAACTTCCCCACTTATTAAGATCTTGATCGCTTTAAATAAGTTATCCTCAGTTAATGATATCGACTTTTTTCACGATCCCCTAAATTCAATAATAAATAAAATTAGATCTTAAGTCCTAATATTAGTTCAGAGCCCCAGTGCCATGTAATTGGAATTTTTATTCTGTATGGTTTCTGGTTAAATAAATAAATAAAAATAAAATAAAAATAAAAGTACTATGCACGATAAAACCAATTTCTTCAATAATTTTACTGGCAGTTTTGAGATAGGCCTGCAACTGCCTAAGTCATTTGCAGAAAGGAATATTGGTAAAATATGAAACTGGTTGGCAGGTGGTACAATGTGACTAGACCTTCAAATTTCTATTCGAATTTATTATTAACAATATTGCATTAATTAGTTGATTTGCATTGTTAATAAAAGTTCTATTTGTAGCGATTTTAGCTGCTTTAATCTTCTTGACGTAAATGCTGCGTACAGATTTTTTGCTTTAAGTAAATTAGAAGTACCGTATTTAGAATACAATTCGCAAATTAACTGGAGGTTATAAGAGCAATTAAGAAAATTAAGTGACGGGAAAACATTAAAATTGCAATTGCGCGCCATTTATGGCACCGATTTTAGTAATCGTGGTCTTAAATTGTTCACCATTTTAAGGTGTTTCTTTGACTTTTAGGTAAATTTTAGCAATTTTCAACGACAAATCCAATGGATGGAGAGAGTGAAATTTAATTGAAACGTTAAAACATTTCAAATTCGAAATACAAACAACAGTTTCCCTCTCATTATACGAGAGTAGCTCTAGGGTCTTCATTGATCACGAGGAAGAAAGCCTTCGAGGAAATGTATTCACTTGCTTTTTCCCTTTTTTTTTTAAATTTTACAATCACATTATAGTCTATTTCAGCCTGTACGACGACATCATGGAATTTGTTGCCATGCGCTAAACTGTGCTTTCATCACGGCTAGTTTATAGCGCTTTAATGTGGACTTTATGCTATAAGCTGATGAGCGCTGGTAGTGACAACCCACAATGCGCACTACCTTTTTTAATCTGATCTTATTCCACCAGTGGACGTACCGGCTAGCAGTGAGGACCTTCTTCACTAGGCATACCCGGCAAGTATGCCTAACCGGCTTTGTCAAATTGCCTACGGTTTAGGATTGTTGCACTTTGTACCACTGGACAGGTAAACTGTGACAGTGAAGTGACTAGCTTTGCTTTAACGCAAACCCACCACATACCCGGCCATATTCGATTCCGGAAGATCTTTTCCAGGATTATTCGCCCAGGCAGATTCAAACACAAACCTCCATAGAACATTTACTGTATTTTAGCTGGACGTTCACAGGACGTTCAATTGTCCATGGCCGAGGGTTTTAAGTATGCCCATAGTATGTGGTTGACTGGTTGTGCTATATAGGTAGGGTGTTGTTCATTTGTACAGTTCCTTTAATATCACTAACCTTTGATAATATACATTACAATTTTTGTACTACAACAATGAAAAGCTACAGCTAGATAACCTATTATATACATCTTTATTTATTGGACAGCTAAAATGTAATAAAGAATGGACTACCTGTAGATTAATTTTGATTACGTACGTTAGACACAATACTGTCAAAGTAAAATATAGGCAATTTTGAGAATCTGATCAATTTTTCTTGTTTGTTCTTGCATGTTCCAACTTCTTCATTACGTTTAAAAGAGATCGGTAGTCTGACCAGTTTCTCGCAAAAATAAGAAATGGTGAACTGAAAAATGATTCGAGACATACAAGCCAACGCCAACATGTTCTTCTAGAAAAATATAATCAGATCCCAAATAATAATACATAAAATATAACGCAGTCGATTCGACTGACTCGATTTGCCAAACAGTAGATAAATTACGAGAGCGTATGGAATGTTTAGTTTTCTTTTTCATATACACAATGGAAGATTTCCATTAAAAGGCACAAATTTTCGTGTAGACCGTCTTGTTCGTACTACTATTTAAAATATAGACAATATTTCTGAAGTAAAAAGCTACATAGTAGAAAATTACGAAATTATTCACATATTATTAGTATTATAAATATAAAAAATGATATAAGAAAAGTTAATTGACAGAATAGTTTCGTTTGGTAAAGAAACTAAATATGTACGTATGTAGGTAAACTGTCGAATGCGCGGTTTCGTTTACTATGCGTATAATCCCAATCGATGAATTTTCGCCGATAAAAAATTGTGTAATATGAAGACAATTGGTTTTGGGTTACCTTCGAGGTCCAGTTCCTGCAACAAAAAAAGTGCTGTTCATATGCTAACCACCGTGTAATTGCCGCGCAAAGTAAATCATTTTTTGAGTCGAAGCTGGCACCGTTTCCAAGGTGTTCTATTGTAACGAGGAGCTGCTGTCTGTTTTCTAAATCTGCCTACACAACTCAAAAGGTTGCGCTCCAGAGCGTTCCGAACCGTCTACACATTATCCTGGTCTTTTTAAAGCTGTGCATGGCGTTTTTACGGCGTTATAGGTACCCTTTCCAGCGCTAGAAACCTCAAAAAAGGACCAAAAGGCTTTGGAAAAGGCGATATACTTCAGGCTGTTGCAGGTTCGTGGGTTACTGTATATTGATTTTCAGTTTTCTCTTCTCTCTTTTCTTCTTTTGTTTTCGCCTTTCTTCCTTTGTTTTATTTTTCCTTTGTTTTGCTTTACGTTTGTTTTCTTGTATTTGCTTTCTGTTTTTAAAATATCTCCACAAGTACACGACCCGAAAGATTGCGCTACCGAACGTTCTAAACCTACTACACGTCATCTAGTGTCTTTTTAAAGCTGCGTATGGCCTTTATGCAGTTTCCAGGTACTCTCGATAGCTTTCTAGCCTTTCAGCGTTACGAGGATGTATCCAATTTTAGAACAAACCATCGACGCCCTAAAACCCGCCAGAAGACCCTAGAAAAAGCCTAACAATCTGGAATGAACTGCTACACTTTGAAAAGAACCACGGTGTTCTGGAAATACCGGGACCAGCGGTGAAAAGGATCATAGAACTGTTGAAAGGGTATTCCGAGTTTTGGAGAGCACTATTATAGGGTTTTCTTTAACAATCGAAAATTCTCCAGGACGTTCTAAGTGTCCACAAACTCTTTGAGGCACTCGTTTCAGAAAGGACTCTATTCTCCTCCTAGAGTTACTTAGTCAATTTTTAGAATTCTATGCCACTTGCATTGTAGGATCACCTATAGTAGTAAAAAACCCAACAAAATGCGTTCCGGTGCTTTTGAGTGGTTTCGCAGGCTTCCAAGAGCCTTCTAAAGCCCGACGCCCAACTGCTAGAAATCTTTGAAAATGTGTGTCTATGACGTTCATGGAAACCGAGAAGGCATAGACACGCCATTTTCAAAGGTGATCTTGACCCACCTACAGCCCCCTAGAGCCTAGACCCCGCCTAAAACCAAATGCTCTGGAACATGCCTAGGTCTCTTTAGATCATTTCCAAACTATTTTAAGCCGATTCCAGAGTTGTCCCGATCTTTCTCAGAGCATTTTAGGACTTTTACATAGTTTCACTAGCCTCCTCTAGAAGCTTTACGGTGACTTTCAGGACATTATACTGCTCTCTTAGAGCTGGTGTACCTCCTCACCGCATTCTAGGTCGTTTCCAGATATCATCATGAGGTTGTAGAAAGACTATAAATAATTAACATTCACCTTTCGGGTTGTGTGCTTGTAAGGAGACTTATAAAAATAAACCAAAAAAACCAGAAAACAAAATGCAAACGGGAAAAGAATAAAAAAACAAACGTAAAACAAGCGGAAACTAAATCTACGAAACTTTCACAGGCGGAAGTATATCACCTTCTCCAAAACTTGATGACCATTTTCAGTGCTCTCTAGGCCCTGGTAGCTTTTCTTCGGAATCACGTGCTTTTTAGAGTAACGAAAGCTTTCCATTGCACTTTAGGTTTGTAAGCATTTTTTATCGTGTATGGTTAGCAAACCCCTTTTCAAGAACATTGAAGGCGCAGTTGAAAAGATTTCTACACTCTATCCGAATCCAGACCATTATGTTCTCACTTTGCTCTGTACAAAGAGTATAGATTGCTTTCGTAGTTCTCCTATTGCTACGAACTTATAAAACAGTTCCGCAGGTTTCGAACCTTTGGCAGTTTGCGCAAGAGTTATATTTTAACCGAAAAACACTTAGCGGCCACTTTTCAAAGGAAAGATTTGGTATCTTTAGTAAACGACCACCTGTAGAAAGCATTTCTGGTCGACAAAGGTAACAGAAGATACGGAAACCGTTTTCTTAATAAATAAATGTTATTTATATTCATATATTCCTCTCTCGGAAGTCTTTCAGTCTTCACAAAGCTCCCTCCCAAAGCGTTTTTTTTTTACTTCTGGAGAATTCTGGCCTTTTGTAGCAGAGTTGCTAGAGCTCTCTTTCCCTGGGATTTGCACACTCCCTTCAGAGGTTTTACTTTTCGGTTCTAGAGCTTTCTGTGCTCACGTATCGCAGGGCGTAAGCTTCCTTCAATAGCAACCTCAAGTAGTACCTAGTGTGCGCTTGCACTTTTTGGTGCTTCATAACGGATAATCACTTGTTCTACCAGGGTTTTTCAAGGGAATATTACATTTTGTTTCCGAGCTTTCTTTCTTTTATGAAGCATTGTAGGTACTTTCCACAGTTTTATATGCGCTTTCCAGAGCATTCTAGTCTTTTTAGCGAACGCTATTGCCTGCACTGTGTCCGCCTGTATGCCCGTGTGTACCATTACTAGCCCGCCAGTTTAAGCTTTTTCGTTGCGGTTTCTTTCTTATACGGTGTACCAGAGCCCCGAGACCACAACGACAAAAGAATGTGTGGATACCTTTCCGAGTTATTACTGACTTTGTGCGGGGAAAATGCACTTTCATCGGTCGCGAATGACCATATCTATAGTAGGCCACATCTTACTATACGTTTACCAGCGACATATGCGCTACCTTTAAGTTTTGAATAGCATTTTAGGGTAGGTAATAACGGGCGATCAAAAATGAGTTGCTGTCGAGTCGCTTTTGTGTGAACAAAAATTCCAAAGGTGACTAGCAACTCATAGCAACTCATTTTTGATCGCATAGTAGAAAACTTTTCAAGCCCGTCCCGATCGGGATCTTTGGAGACTGAACTTTCATTCCTCATACCTACCCCTCCAAATTAACGAACTATTATCATACTTACTATATTATTTTCATCCCCGAAATCTAAATATAACGCACGATGACCGTCGTCCGATGAATTCTTTAGTCTATCGAAACCATACCGCCAAAGTGTCCTACATCCTGTTCCAGCCTCTAATAATGTAAACCCATTTTCATAATGTATAACGAGTTGAGCAGGTCTACCTTTCCAAGCGCATCCTACGAGTTTCCTTAAAGAGGTTATCAACAAAAAGATGCCGGTACTTACGACACACTAGCTCCCTTTGCGTGACCGCACTTGCATGACCACCATTAACTAAAGATTTCGCCCACGCCGCAAGATCTCGATGTGTTTCTGCCCTTAGTCGATGCGTGATGACGCCTTCCGCCGTCGCGCATCTTATGCTAAACTCGGGGAGCTCGGCTCTCCTCCCGGAACCGACCAGCCTCGTCGCGATAAGCGCATAAGCTTCGGCGGGCGTCCGCCACGCCTCACCGGACCAGGGAGCGCTCTCGTACAGCCTAAATTCGCTATCGGTGACAGCGGCGAAGACGGAATTCCACCTGTCCAACTCTTCCGAACTGTCGGAGCTCGACAAGTTGTTCTAAAATGAAAATATTGAGCGGTTGTGGATTTGAACAGATAACTCACCTCAAATTTTGGACGCCTCAGCAACCATCCTATGTGCCTCAAATCTGGAATAGCACGGGCGGCTTCGTGCAGGGCCGCTGTGGTCAGTGCGGCTAAAGCCGAATGTAAAGTATTGAACCATGCGGCGGCTTCTGCGGGATCTGTGGCTCTCAATACACAACTGTGCACTGCGTCCGGCGAATGAAGCTCCAGCGTCCGTCCCTCTGAAAACAAAAAAACAATAGAAACTTTTAATTGAAGGAAATTTCGTGAATTAAATACAGGCATCGTAACTACGTTTAAAATGTCTGATTAAATGTCTAATGAAAAATGGATTAAGTGTTGTTATATAGCCGACAACTTTCTTTCTATCGCGCAGAAAGCATCCCTTTTTATTATATTTTAATGACAGCATAAAAGGTGTAATCCCACGTTGGAAATCTAAGCGAATTAAGAATTAATTCTGATAAATGAAACGGTTTTTATTATGGTACAGGTCGGCTTTGGATCAATATTGGGTTTTCTTTGAAACTTCCGGTATCGTAGATTATATGAGCTTAATTAATCAAGGGCATCTAAACTTCGACAAAATAATGTCGAAACAAACGCGGAAGTGAAAAGAAAAGCGGAAAACAAACGGAAAGTAAAATTCAGAAAACAGCAGGTCGAAGAAAAAGGGCAGAGGAAAAGAGACAGTAATAAGAAACAAATGGGAGGAAGATAGAGAAGACAGAAGAAAGATGATACTTATATAAGAGACAATGGCGCTGTGGGAAAAATACGCAACGCCCTATACAACAATCCCGACGACTTCAGCAGTCCTGCGCAGGTGTTTGTTGAAGCATGGCGTGCTCCAAGCTTTGTTTTATGCTTACCGTTACCGAATTATGTTTTTTTTTTGTTATACTGTTAGTGGTTATGCAATTTATATTGTTTTATTAAGTACTTATTTATGTATTCATGTGGAAGTGTTATCACTGTTATCCGTGTGATGGTGTCCTGTATGTGTCGATCTCTGATTTTGATTATTTCAGATGTTTCCTTACAATTACAATTTCCATTTCCCCATTTTTTGCACAGTCTTTACCTTACTTGGTTTTTATTTTCTTTACTTAATAGACATTCTGAATTATTATCCTTTTGAGAAAACGTTAATTTCAAGCTCCAAAAATCAAATATTCTGAGCAAACTCAATTACCTTTTTAAACATACAAAGTAATCAACACCCCATTCCAAGCTCATTTAAATTTGCAATGAGTATTAATTTTTTTTAATTAGTTTTCGTTTGCGTCAATAAAGCGGCGCGAAAAACAGCAGTGTTGAGCTGGATTGTTTGATAGAAAAGCAATTTGCAGGATAATTAAAAAGTGACAAAACAGAAACGCGCCATAATGATGACAAGTACAAACAGCAATTTCATTACCCTAAAATGCTGAAGAGGAGCATGAGCTAAGTGCGATACTTCAATTTCAAACTGTTAACTCAATTTTAAGCTATGCCATTTCAGACATCTGCAAATAAAATGTAGAAGGAGGCGGCACAATACGAAGTACACGACGTATACACGCAAGTTTCTCGACTGGAAACTGAAATGTAAAGGATGGCGCTTCTCTCTTCTGCATTCACAACGAAAGATATGCACTTGATCGTTTTAGGAATTCACTAACTCTGCTTTTAAAATTTAAATTACTTACTCCGTTTTATAACGTACCCTTCACGGGAGCATTTATACGATCAATAAATTGAAACGCTTATTTTTCGTAGTTTACCACCTGAAATGGTAACCGCTCAAAATAATCGAATATCACTGGACCAATTAGAATCATGTACGCTGAGTTTCGTGGTGCGTATCTAAAATAAAGAAGTATAAATCGTGCACATCTCTTGTGCAGATAAAGCGAATTTTTTTAACAGAAATAGCCTTTGTTTTGACATCACCAATGGATACATTTCTTGCAGACGTCACAATCTCCCTTTGTAAGTACCCTCTTTCGACAATCCGTTCTTGAGGTATAAGGAAATATACCCGATCACGATAAGAGGTCGAGGAGCAGGGCTATGGGTGGTAAAAATTGATTCCTTTCGTTGAGACCTTTCATTAGAGTACCATGAAGGATAAAAGTAGTTCCACCCCCTTCTCCCTCCACTCCTTAATTTGATAAGAGGGCAGTAGTTGGTAGAAAACGGTTCCTTTTGTTGAGACCTTTAATTAGAATACAATGAGAGATAAAATTAATTTTTAAGCCCCCCCCCTCCCACCACATTTTGTTTAATTCTTGAAAAATGCGCTAAAAAATAATAAAGTGTGAAGAAGGTAAAATAATGCACAGAAAAGTTTTATTTTTGTAAATTTGTAGAATGTTGTTACTAGTGCTATAAGTTTTCAAAAACTATCAAAGTGCTCGAGTAAGATCCAAGGGCATTTTTGTGTGGCAGATCAGTATTCTATTAGCCAGTTTTGACTCCACCATCAATAAAAAGTGACTGTGTTCCGTTGGTTTCGGATCGGATTTTGTAGCGGATTCGTTAAGACGTGTTTTGGTCAATTTAGTTTTACCGTCTCGGCCTACCACTAGTTAGGAAAGTGTCTCTCTTGTTCTGGGCATAATGCTTTTAGAGGTGCCCCTGCAGAAGGCCTTAAGTTGTTCTATACTACTCCGGTAATTACCTTTGCGAATTAGAAAAACTGCAGGAAGACCTAATTCGAAGTAGGCGGTAGAATGCTCGAAACTGATCTAACGAAATTCCCATCTCTGTCACAGGTGAAAAATTTTTACCTCAGCCCAGGTTCGAACACCCGACCTCCGACTACGTAGCCCACCGATCTACCCCTGATACCTTGTGATGTTTTGTTGGCGAATAGGTCATCATTTGAAATAAAAAAATACATATTTCGAACGGCCGAATCAGACTGGCATTTACAGAACTCCATTGTTTCAAGTGAACAGCAATGTGCGTTGAACTGTGAGCGAACTTGGGCCACGCACCTGTAAATTACCGCGGGGTGTTTTTATTTTTGCGTTGCGCCACGAGCAAAGTAAAGTCAATCACCGTAACTTATCGCAGGGTGCTTTATATATTGGCGGGAAAACTACACTAATCAAGAGTGTGTATTAGGTGCGGAAAAAATTGCGGACACCTACAGTAAGAAATTCTAAGTGCATGTAAAAAAGAAACGCATAAAATTTCATTTGCAAAGGATAGAAACTATTATGTTAAATAGAAACTGGGGAATTTTTAACCCACAAAGAATTAAAAATTCGCGTTGAGTAGCGAGAAAATTCGCGTCGAGTAGCGAAAGAATTCGCGTCGAACTACTAGAAAGATTAGCGCGAGTCATCGAGGTTAAGTTGATCACTCTTGAATCACCGTGGAATGGTTTTTATTTTGTTCGATATCCGCGTTTCTCCACGAGCGAAGAGAAGTCAATCACCTGTAATTTATCGCAGCACGCTGTATATATTAGTGGGAGAACTACAATAATCAAACTGTGTATTAATTGCGAAAAAACTTGCGCCCACCTACAGTAGCGAAATCTAAAGCCCGCTTGACATGGAGCAATAAAAATTGCAATTGCATGCAAGTTGCAAGAAAAATTGCGAAAGGCATGCGCAGTTCAAAGCCAGCTGATCAATTGCTGCAAGAGACTTGCATGCAATTTTTATAGGACCGGTGCTATTTTTCTTGCATGAATCGTGCAATTCTAGGGGTAAATCTAGTTGTGTTTGTGGCACCAACCTAGTAAAATACAGCGGCGGCAACTGTGATGCTGAGAGACGCACTCATTACTTGTTTTTACTAATCTTATTTATTCTTGTAATTTTCATGTTTCTTCAAGCAATCAAAATTTAATTTTCATTTGAGGTTAACAACTTTTGTTGACAAATCCATATGTTTCTTCTGTTGGCAGACATGTGGCAATTGAAATAGAATTGCACCATGTCAAATACCATGCAATGCTTATTGCATGCAAGGATTTGACCTTGCAATTTCTTTCTGCAAGTTCTTGCGCGTAGTATTGCTCCATGTCAAGCGGCCTTAAGTACATTTAAAAGACAAACTCGAAATTTTTAAAGCGCGAATTAACGTGTTTAGTGACCTTCATTTACAAAGGATAATTTACGGCTTAGAAACTATTTTGTTAAATACGAACTGGGGATGTTTTAACCCACAAAGAATTAAAATCGTGTGACCTTTAAATAAAATTGAATTAGTGTTTTAATTGGAAAGAAAAATTACTTTTACTGGAGGAAAAAGTTTTTATCCCGGAATGGGTGTCACTCAAAAAAGAAAAGTGGTGAGAAGTTGGTTGTTCTAAGAAGTCAGCAATGCGCTTTGAACCGTTGGCGAAGTTGGATTAAGCACCTGTAAATTTACGTAGAGTGCTTTAATTTTCGAGAGGGATTAAGATTAGCGCGAAGCAGTCAGCTAGGCGAAATATCACCCGTGAATAACCGTGGGTTGATTTTCATTTTGTGCGAAATCCGTTTTCCGTCAGGAGCGAAGTGAAGTCAACCACCTGTAGTTTATCACATGGTGGATCTATTATCGGTTATTCGAATTCGCTTCAAGCTACCAGCGCAGTTAGGTTGACCACCTGCGATTTATCACAGGGTGCTTTATATATTTTGTGTTATTTTGTTTTAGTTGTAACTTGAAAGAAATTATAGAGCGTCTGGATGTGACAATTTTGTTTAGTTCAAGTAATTAACCGGGGGGGTTATTAATAATTTGAGACACAGGATTGCGTAAATTTCATGTTATAGTTTTGGTTCAATTTCTTAGAAGTGTTCTGTTTTTATTTTAATCCTAGAATTTTTTTCGATGTAAATTTCTTTTTAAATTTTATTTGCCGTTAACGAGGTATAGCGCGAAGTAGAGATAAGGTTGTCTTCGCAGAATTGCCGGACGTACGTGCCGTTTAGCAAGAAGTTGAAAAATCGACGCTTCGCGTGATTGGCGGACGGGATGTTGAAGAAAGGAGAAGGGCTTTTGGCTTAAATAGAAAATTTTTGAAGAGAGCGGGGCTTTTTAGTCGTTACAAAGCCAACCGGCGCTTCTTCGGTTACGTGATTTTTTGAATTTTGTGGAAGTTTCTTGCGTAGTGGATCCAGGTTTAGTTAGAATTTTTGTCTGCCGTTTAAGAAGAATTTTTGAAAAGTTTAAGAAGTTTGTCGCTGTCCTGTTTTTTTTTTTTTTATTTTGCGGAAACACGGAAGTTTTG